AGAGGGGTGGAACCATGAGCCAACCAGAGGAGGCAGGAGGCGGTGCTATTTTCAAACCTTGCTAGCTCTCTCGCTAGCTTTCCAAGATTACCAACCCCAGCTTTAATGCAATTAACTGCATTCCACTGTTATGAACAAAACAAACATTTAAATAACTCATTGTGCTACCTATACAAACAACTGGCTTGGAATGCTTATTATTAATTATTAAAATAATAATAATATTATTATTGTTAAGACAATATTATGATTATATCATCACAATACAATTACACTAGCTGTTACATAAACAGAAATTTTTGCCAATTTATGGTTTAAGGGGAAGTTATGTGCTGCGATTATTTCTCAATGAACATAATAGCCAGGCGCAATGATTGTGCTGTTGTTGTTATTGTGCCTGTATGATGCTTTAAAACAAAACCTGTGCTTACCGACCATATCAGGCAATACTGCACTGCAGCCCAGGGCCAATAGATAAAATGTTGCTCCACAAATGCTCTATGCAGTATTACCCAAAGTCCTAAACTCTTCCTTTAAATGTAAATGTAGCTGCTGGAGCACACCTTTACCTTTAAGTATATTGTAGGGTAATAGACATTTTACCTTTCTGTCAGGGATACTGTGTGTTAAATCCACTCCTAAGAGCACAATTCCTGAGAAAAGACAGACAGGTAGTGTTTGTCTTACATGTTGATCAACCTAATCCTGATGTGCATGGCTACGCATGAGGATGGGGTTATTTAGGGCTGGTTGCTCCACTGACTCATCCTCTTAAGAAACCAATGAGGGCTTATCTAGTACACCTCGTAAATTAAGGACGTTGTTAGGAATAGTTACAAAACCTTAAAACCCCTAGACTGTTCTTAAGGATTCATGGCCAAAATATAATCTGATAAATCATTAATAGCTGAGACACGTGAGCTACATTCAAGGAAGATCCATACTGAATGCTGTTACATGCACCGTGGCAGCTGCTGCTTTCAAAGGCAGGTCAAGATTTCTCTCTCGGATGAAAAGGGGGGGGCCTCTCTGCCATGTATTCCTGGAGCTCAGCATGTAGGACGCCTGAGGGGAGGAGATATGAGCTGGGGAGATTGTGTGTGTGTGTAAATGCCAATATGGTTCTCTGATGGATGTGTAATAACACACATTAGCATGTATGCACACACTCCGGCCACGGCTCCAACACTCCTCTCTGACTGCGGAATACAAGCGCACAGTGTAAGCAGTGAGAGTACCAGGCATATTTTACTACAACCATCTAATTACATCTGCACCACTCCATCAACCATCAGACCCAGAATGCATCTCTTTGGATGAAAAGACCTTTGGCATAGTGCTAGGTCTGATATCTTTTGTAACTGTATCAAATATATGCACTGGAAACTAGACAAAGTGCCTTATTTGCATAATACTGATCAGCTTATGCACATTCAAGTCTTCAGCCATACTTAGATCGCATTAGCCTCCTGTTTATTTATTATGCTTCCTTTTTGCATAAGACTACTAGAGATGGCTCCTAGGTTTTCCTCATGCTCCACCGACAACAAAATAAGCTGCAGAAAGTGGACAAGATTAATCAAGAGTTTTAGTGGCAGGAAACTCACACACAAACTATTCCTTAACAAACCCAGATCATTGGAGACAAATCTCTTTCAGTTTTCTGCTAATTGTTTTATAAATTCAAATTTCAATTTGCTAGTATTTGACAGAATTACAGGGACAGCTACAATTTCAAACAAAGGGGTTTGGAAATGTCTGCCTTTCCATTGATACTTGGTGGTTTTCTAATCTATCACAGAACAACCTGCTGCACCCTTACAGACTCTAGATTAGGTTTCCTTTACTTAAGCTGACCACAACTGCTAGGTTACATAGTGAGGGTCTCTTTGTTCTTTATGTACCCTTCACTGGCGCACTTCAGGGCTCAGTCCTTGGCCCATTTCTGTTCTCCCCTTTACATTTTCTGCCATCACCTCTCACACATTTTCTACAACTGCAAAACATTTGGCAATATTAATAATAAACAATATTTGGCTGGACTTTCCCTGCCACTCCTCCAAAATTACAGGTTGAACAACTTCTACACAACGGGTTTACATCTCGAAATGTGCAAGTGTGCGTCTGGGATATATTATAATATACTTAAAATTCTTAAATTGGCACAAAAACATACTGAAACCACTTTACCTTACATTTTCCTTTTTTTTTTTAAGTATATTTTTTTCTGCTTTTTTATGCCTTTATTTGATAGGACAGCTAGAGATAGACAGAAAAGGGGGGCAGAGAGAGGGGATGACACGCAGCAAAGGGCCGCAGGTCGGATTCAAGGACTCAGTACATGGGTCGTCAGCTCTACCTACTGAGCTAACCGGGTGCCCACCTTACATTCACTTAAGAAACATATCCCATCACAGATAGGATTCACTTCTCTTTTTTTTATACAATAGGCAAGTTGTGCCTTCATCAATGGTGACACGGGTTAGGAGTTTGGAATAACCAGAAAAAGATTCCCTCTTGTCCCCTTGTACAAAATAAATCAGGAAATC